TACCCAATATGGCAAAATCCATTTGGAGTAAGTTTATAGGGGGGCTCTATAAATAAGAGGGAACCAAAGGGCCATGGGTTGGGTTCTTTTTAGCTGTCTCCTCTTATTCTCCTCTCTCTCTCTCTCTCCTCCTCATACTGTAGCCCCTATTTGGGTGTGTGGATAGCAAGAAGGGGCAACATTTTCTTGATTGCGTGGTGCGTGCAAGGAAGAGTTTTGGACAATAATTTGAGGAGCGTCTTCACAACTCCTACCGTGCGGATCACCACTAAGAGGAGGACATTTAAACTCCTTCATCTAATTCCACATATCTATAGGAATTTAGGGATATACGATCTCCCTAGGTAATTCTCTTACGCGGGGTTTTTCGATTTCGCAGGTTTTTGTGCATCAATTTTTGCATGATAATAAAAAACTTTTTTTCTATGGGAATTCTGAGATTTTATTTTTTATCCTTTTGTTGTGCATGTGATGTCACCCTAGATTTTCCAACAATGGTATCATAGTCAAGTTGTTCACACAAAATATTAGCTTTTAAATTACGTGTGTTGTGTTCAATCACGTTAAAATTATTTTACGCGATTGTTATGATATTTTATCATAATTTTTAAATTTGTGCTGTATTTTTTTTTTTTACTGTTAAAAGGTATTTTAGAGATGACTTTGTTGACACAAGGAAGAAAGGTTCTTAGAAGTTTCCAACGAAAAAATTAAATTTTTGGGGTAATAAGAAGTTTTCAAGACATGCCAGCCATACCAGTCGGAATCTGGGGCATAGTGTCGCCGTTTAAAGTAAATGTAAGCTTTTTTAGCAGTAGCCCTCCCTAGGTGATGTGCTTTCTAAACCCATCTATGGAGCAATATCAATGGAGTTAATGCGACAAATCAACTCCTGTCCAAACCCCTCCGATAGCAATTGGAAGTCCCAGCTACTAGATCAGATGAGAGCAACAACAGTAGCTTCCTCAGATATGAGTAAAGGATTAACAAAAGTAGGTTATAAAAGAATAGGTAAGTATCACGGTTGAAAGTTTGTAAACAATTTTCAATCAATTTATTAATACCAAGTCTAAGTTGAATTAAAACTTGCATAAAAAGGTACCAACTTCAACTACCATGTTTAAAATATGAAAGAAACGAAAGAACCATATTTAGCATGAATGACTATGCACCATATGCTATTATCTTTGTTAAGATAACGATGAATGCAGGATGCCGGTAGGGTATATTTAAATAGAAAAATATCTTGAATGGAAAGACCCTCGTTATCTTTGGCATGTGTGACAATTGCCCAATCAAGAAGGTGAACATCTTTAGTATCAAGATTATTCTGTCAAGAAAAATTTCTGATAAGGATTTCAGTTTTATGTAAGATAAAATCAAGGATCCAGTTGCGCTAGTGGTATGTAAAGAAATAAAATTTTAAAATAGATTTGATTAACATCAGGCGGAAGAAGTAATAAGAGATTACTTGACACTATCCCAAGAAATCATTCCACCAGCCAACATATAAATGTAGTTCGAAGTAAATTTTCTACTATCTTGACATCCAACAAAATCAAAATCAGAATACTCAATGATTTCTAAATGGTCTGATATCCTATATGTGAGCATATGATCTTTTGTCCTCTTTAAATATTTTATAACTCTTTTAGCTACCTTCCAATGATTTATTCTAAGATTGCTTATGTATCTGTCTAATACTCGAACAATGTACGTAATATCTGGATACGTACAAACTTGTGCATACATTAGACTCCCTATAGCTGATGCATAGGGAATCTTCTACATTTCTTGAGTTTCCATATTTTTTTTAGGGCACTGATTGAGATTGAACTTGTCTTCGTTTGCGATAGGAGTGTCTCTTGGTTTACAATCTTGCATACCAAACCTTTTGAGTACCTAATCGATATAGCTCATTATGATAATCCTAGAATACCTCGAGATCTATCTCGGTGTATCTAGATTCCTAATACAAAATATGCGTCACTAAGATCTTTCATCTCAGGATAGAAATATCTTGGTTTCATGCAATATACCTATATCATTTGTGGTAAGCAGAATATTATCCACATACACACAATCATCAACATTATTCATCTCAAAACCAAATGAGATAATTATTTGATAAAATTTGTGATACCACTGATGAGATGTTTATTTTAACCCATAGATGGATTTTATTAATTTACATATCATTTTTTTTGGGTCTCCTAATACAAAGTATTCTAATTGTACCATATAAATTATTTCATCAATATTTTTATTGAGAAACGTTGTTTTGATATCCATCTTATGAAACTCGAAATCAAAATGTGTCTAGAACCATAATTATTCTACAAGAGTCTTTCGTTAAAATCGGAGAGGTCTTTTTAAAGTCAATCTCTTCCTTTTGAGTATAGCCCATTGCCACAAGACATTCCTAAGATAGTCCATGAAAAGTTTTATCAAAATCGAGTTTGATTATAATTAAATGATTTTTGCTTTTAGAGGAGAACATAGTATGAGCAGCTTCTTAGGTAATTAAGATATTGTCATGCATTCGGAAGACATGCAGATTGATTGAATCTAATTAGATTTAAAGAAAATGGGTTTTAAGCGATTAGAAAGAACATTAGCGAGACTTCTATAATTCACGTTAGATAGAGCAATTGGTCAAATATGCACAACAGCAGTTGGACTTTTTAACCTTTAGAATGGAAGTGAGGAAAGTTTTAGCCCAACTCAATAGGATTTGGGCATGCTGGTGAAACCAGTAGAAAACCTTAATAAAGGAAGGAGCAAGAGTGTCCCAATAAGCCTTTTAAAATTCACAAGTGAAATCGTCATGCCCCGAACTTTTTCGAAGACCTAGAGATTGGATTACAGAGTGAATTTCTACGAGAGAAAAAGGTTTAACAAGCTAAGATCTCTCAATGGAGGTTATACCTCGTAGGGTAGGCATTTGTGTTCATGAAGGAATCTAAGTGAGATGTATTTCAAAGTTCTGTGTAATGATGATAAAATAAAATCATAATATTATTGATATCATGCGTTAGACTTTTGTTGGGTCTATTATGGCTCTAATAAAATTTTTATGATGATGATAGACCGAAAGTATTTGACATTTTTATCACTATCATTGACCCAATAATATTTGGCTTTAGCTTATCATTTAATATTTTCTTATCATATTAAAGCTAATTGATAATTATAGAGGGAGCCCAAATGTTACGGTTGAGAATCATTCGTTGTATTATCGTTTGGTATCAGTGATATATATCGATCTAATAAGAAATCAATATATACGATACATCGATATGCCCCTATGTATTATGTGTGGATATGCTCAATATGACTTAGTATATACTATATTAAGAACCGATCGATATATCGGTACAAATTAATAAAGTGAACCATAGATCCAAGTAATTAAAACGTGAAGCTATTCAAAACTATATTATAGTCTACCCTTATTTCAATATGAAAAGACACCTCACAAAAGTTTTGATGAAATAGATCAAGAGGGTTTGAGGAATCGGTAGGATGTATCCGGTTCGATTTGATAAGATTAAATCTCAGGATATTTAGACTAAAAGTTTTGAAAGCCAAACAAATTTAGTACCAACAATATTAGTGGTTTTAATCTGAAATTTAAGTGGTAAATGATCCAAAGATTAATCAAAAAGCTAACCAAGCAGAATTACCAAAGATACCATCCATCTAAGCGAATAGAAATACGAGCATGAGCTTTGCTATTATTACACTAAGTGTATTTATAATGAAAAAAACTCAAAACAATAAATTTGGGCTAACTAATCTATCAACTTCGTTTGGTCTAAACCACTGACCAAAATGCTTAAGCTGAAGTTAATAATAATATACTCATCAGATCCTTATAAGTTAATCTTAATTTTTTCCCACTTTCGATGTGGGACTAATCATGGGTGTTAGAGACGTTCTTATAACTTTATGGGAAAACACTATGATTAGAGCATAGGAACAAAGCTACAGGAAGAGATGAAAAAAAAGCTTACTTATCTGTCAGGACATATTTTGAAAAGTGAGGCAAAAAAGAAGTGCCAGACTAATATTATAAACAAAACTTTTGAAAATACCCAAAAAGAGGGCTTTTCCCTTTAATTCGCCAAGAAAATATTATCGACAAAACTTGGACCGGTCATCTTCCAAGGGTATAAATTTTCCGAAGTTTTGCAGTAAATATGGTAAAGAAAAAATAACTATTGCCATAAAAACTTGAAACTGTATATTTTCGGTTTAAATCATTCAAATATGAATTAATTATAGATTATTCCTAATAGTTACTTACTTTCGATCCTTAGTATTTAGAAAAATTAAATTGATATTTTTATAGTTTCATAAAAGTTAAATTGGTATTTCTATATTTAAAAAATAATTTTTTAGAGTATAAATAAATATACGATCGAAACATTAAGAGTGGCTAATTTGTTATAAGATTTTACATTTATAAATTAGAAAAGGGCTCGACTATGCTTCCGCCACTCGGACAGTTCGTGCCTTTTTCAATGAACAGACTATAAGGCCCATTAGGCATGGGGGATCAGAAATCCCGCCCGGTTATAAAACCTTAAAGGTTTGACCTCGTTCGCAATCGTAGTTAGGTTGTGATCGGGGATCGCATTATGGGCCTTTGCAACTGGTTTGGTTTTTTTTTTGATATCTTGATCTTTGGATTTTGATATTATTTTCTATTCCTTGGTCCGAAAGGATTTAGTTTTGGATAGAAAAATTATACCATAAATGGCTCATTAAAAATAAAAAAAATTAGAAAATCATATCATCAGGTATCTTAGCGGCCGCGGGCGAGCAGAGGTAGCGTAGGCTAGGTTTTCGACATATTTACATTTTTGCTCTCGAGATTAGGATTTTTATCAAATTATAGTTTTACCCTTTACAAATTTTATAATTTCAATTTATGTCCATTATTACAAATTTCGTACCCTTTTCAGTAAGCAGGCTATTATATAAGGCCCATTAGGCATGGGGAACGGAAACCCCACCCGGTTATAAAACCCTAAAGGATCGACCTCGTTCGCAGCCGAAGTTAGGTTGTGATCGGGGATCGCATCGTGGGCCTCTGCGGCTGGTTTGGTTTTCCATTATTCTTCGATGGTTTGGTTATCTTTCCGGTATCTTGATCTTTGGATTCTGGCATTCTTTTCTGTTCCCTGGAAGGATCTGGTTTTGGATAGAAAAATGGTAGTCGGGGCACTCTTTAGTCGTTATTTAGCCTTCTGTGTTCTTCTTTTTGCCAATTCCTGCTTGTGATACTGACAAGCTTCGACGATCGTCAAAAGCAGAGAGTAGAAGAAAATAGAAGGGGAGGGGCACGGTTTCTCCCGATCTTATGTTCTTACCTTGGGTGTTAAGCTAGCTTTTTTATTTGTGCATTTAGTTTTTCTTAGTGATTTTAGATTTTCTTTTGCGGGTTCTTTTGGAGAAAATAAGGATATTATTTTTTATTTCTTTTCTTGTTGTTTTCAGGTTTTGGAGAAAATAAGGATATTATATTAGGCAATCTTGAAAGGTTTGGCAGACAATCTAAATGTGCTAATTTCGATGGCTTAGATTGAAAAGCCAATTGGTAACCTAAGTAACAATGTTTTCGGAATTAGCATGAAGGTACCCTTTCTAATCCATCTTTGTCGATAGAGAGTTTGAGACAGCATGGAAGTGTGTGACATTGTTGCATCAGTCCATGCTCCCTAAAATTTTTCATGGGTGGTTCATCCTTCCTAGATAGCATTTTTTCTAGTTCAGTGGTGACGAATGTTCAAAATATCTTATCTGAGATATTTTCTTAAATATGAACTGATAAGTTTGATAAGGATGTTACCTTCTTAATAGTCCGTTAGAAGCTTATCCATTATTCTATCTAAGTTGAGGTGTAGAACTATTCTTCTTGATGTAAATGTAGACCTAGACCTTTGACATGCTTTACAAAACATGAATTATATTGATCTCTGGCATCCATGTAACTTTTTCATTAACTTGATGTTATGAGCTCTCACATGAATTTAACTTCTACACAGTAGTAAATGGTATATTGGAAAATTTAGTAAATGTGCACTATTAGCCCCTTGCTGCTATTACGTTGGCTGCAAGGAAATGACGAGAAATTGGTATCAAGGTGCTATATTGATGAATTGGCAGAAGAAATATTGATTCATAGGTTGATGTAGTTACTTCATCCTGTGTAATTCTTTTGTCAAAATTGGTTTCATTCTTGATGCTATTTCTTTTTATAGATTCTATATACAGAAATTGAAGTTTGCTATTTTTTTTCTATGAATAATATTATCATATATATGTATACACATATGTGTGTGTGTATCTCCTTATATATTCCCAAAAAGCATGGCTAAGTTTTTCTTTCAAACATTGAGTATTAGTATCACTTTAGCTTTCTCTTTGTCCTGATTGTTAAGATGCACATTTAAGCAATTTTCTTCAAAGACTGATAAAAGAGAATTAATGTGCATTTCCGTATTTTTGGTACTTTGTCATAATTACTTCAGTCACTCTGGTTTGTCTGCTTACAGACAGCTTGATGCTCTTTGCACCCTGAATTAGGGGTTTAATTGTTTAAAGTAATTGATAAATGTGTGACTGCGGCCCGACACAGGCATTTTAATTTTCTTTGTTATTCAGAATCACTTTGTGGATCTACAACTGGTTAGTCTGTGAATGCATATGACAATTACTTCTTAAGGATGGTTAAAAATTGCATTTCATAATTTACCATGGAATCTCTAGCTAATATCAATTATGCACACTGATAAGGATTTTTGTTGATCACTAGAATTACAACTTGCTCATAAGACAATGTAGCCTGTCTGTATCCTGCTTTGTGAGAAAAGCTTGGGAAAACATATGGGTCGTCTCATAATTGATTTTGTTTCTTGCATCACCTTATGCACATGATATCCATGATTTGCCATGGCAAAGCAAAATGATGAGACTTGTTGATCTAAAGTAAATGTGGATAATAATACTGCAATTGTGATTACTTCATATTGCCAGTTATTTTCTTGAATATGATGGTGGTGGATTTCGCAGAAAGATACCAAGAAAAATATCATTTCATGAGTCATTTTTTAGGTACAAATCCTCTAACTACTATTAACCACTAAAGAATTAATTTGTGTATTGGTAGAGACTTGCTTATGTTTTTGGCACGATCACCAACTCATTCGACAATTTTGCTTGCTTGTTGCCTTGTACGGTAAACATGATGATGTATTGTTAATTTATTTGGTTATAACATCACCTTACATAGAATTATATATTTCTTGGTTTGCTCACAAAGCAAAATGATGAGACTTGTTAATCCGAAGTTAATGTAGATAACACTACAATGGTCTTCAAAGTTCTCTGATTGCTTTAGACTCCTGCTTGGCCCTTGTTACATGGAAGCATTATGAATTTTATATAAAATTATTGTGGTGCAATCAAGCTGGGTTTTTAAACTTATTTTCACTCACATGCATGCCAAGAGCAAAAAGCATGTTGATGATGTATTCATTTCTACAAGCTATTGATGATACAGACTGTTTCTCCCTCCCGGAGTATTATTGTTTAGTCATCGTCACCAGTAATGCATCTATAGTGGAATGCTCCTCCATTACCCTCACAATGACATTCTGGTTTAATTTTTTTGCGGCTTTTTTTTGCTGGTACAAGTTTTATATGTCTTTGGTTATTTATTCTTGTATATTGTTGGGTGCTTGGTGATATTTGTCGATACGAAGATTATAGAAGAAATATAATTATCTCGTAGGGTGATATTTAAGATTAAAATAGCTGCTAGCTCATTTGCGGGAAATGTTTATCTCAAGTTGTTGTTTCAATAAAAAAATAATTATCTTATAAGTGTTGTGATTCCGAAAGTTTTATCTCACATTTTGCTTTGTGTTCTCAGACGAAAGCATCATCGAATCAAAACAAGATTAAAGAGAAGGAAAAATCAAAGTATAATCAAATGAGGAAGGGCCCGAAACTGATCCAAATAAGAAAGGCAGCAGCGGCAGCCGGCTTTTTATGGCTCGAGGAAGCGCATATGGTGTAGAGGGAAGGGAACCCAACGATCGAGTGATGCGTGTTGTAGGGTTTCCATCTCGCTCTCAGAAATGGATCGGGTGTCTGTGTTGGGTTTCCAATTAGCTCTTAGAAATGGATCGGATGCACGTGCCATTTCGAGGCTCTCGGCCTCGACAACCACCACTGATCTTTCTTTAAATATTAAAGTCTCCCTTCGCTAATAAATTGTTCGTTTGTCTCCTCTTACCCTGCCATTTACACTTTAGTATTTATATACTTTTTCTGCTCTCCTATTAAGCTATTAGAAAATTATCCTATCTATATATTACACTAACAAAATTAGTCGAACCAAATGCTAAGGAAGCACTTTTCTGCATTAAAGAAACGAATGAGCTATATTCATGGCAAAGTAGGTGGGGGAATGAAATCGAATCGAACGGCCGGACCCCAGCTGACCCGCGGTTCAGCGATTGGATCGGAGCCAGGCTGGACCAACCAATCCGACTCATTTTTAATGCATAATATATGTTAGAATTTGCCCTATAGACCAAATTTTCTAGAAAAGCCTCTACTTTTACTTTTTTTTTAATTTTTCCTGCAGAACGTTCTTGTTTTCAGTCTTTTTTTTCTTGTTCGGAGTCCTTAATTTTCAAAACGATAAAAGTAATCCTTTTTTCTCCTTTTCAAATTCATTGAACCAAGACAAAACTTGAACCAGTCCGAAATAAATAATTTTGAATATAAATATTATTATTTCATAATTATTTTGATATTTTTGGATAAAAATATACTTAACTTATATTTAAAAAAAAAAAAAAAAGGTTATGCTCTTTTTTTAATATGGCTCAAAAATAGTATAACTCAAGTTTTTTTATAAAAAAAATTAGATAAATATGTAAATGTTGCAAATTAACAAGGGTTTATTTTGACAAGTTTTGGGTGGAGTTACATTATTTTAGAGCTCAAAAAGAAGTGTAAATACATCGAAATCTTATTATTTTTAATCAAACTTTCAGAATGGATTCCAAACCAATTAACAAGTGTAAACGTTATAAATTGATTCATGAAAGCATAAAAAATTTATAAAAAATTAGTTAAAATTAAAAATATATATATATAACTTATTCACATACTGAATATCTCATAAACGGCTAATTAAAAATGATAAAAATAAGAAATCATGTATTTGAGACCATTTCAAATAGCCATGATCGTGACGGTTTTGGCTTCGAAACCACTGGTTCCGATTTCCTAAAACAAAAAATCGAAACTTTGAACGCCTACGTTTCGGTTCTCGAACCGAACTGGAACTGTCAGTTCTGGTTCCAGTTTCGGTTTGGGTGGTTCCAAGTTCCGATTTGAAACGTCAATTTTTTTTAATTATAAAAAAAAAATATATGAAAAAAAAATCATAATCGTATTTCTAAAATTTAGAAATAGATGTATAATTATGATGTGCAAAGTTGATATAAAGAAATAAAATTATACCATAAACGGCTCATTAATATTTGGGACCATTTCAAATAGCTCCTCTCTCATCGTGGTTTCCAAATCACCACCCATTTTGGTTTCGATTTTCCAAAATGAGGAATCGGAATCAAACCATCAATTTTTATTATTTTTTAATTAAAAATTTATTATATAAAAAATATAATTATATTTATAAAATTTAAAAAAAATAGATGTATAATTATAATGGGCAAAGCTGACATAAAGAAATAAACACCTCTTTTGAAAAAGTAAAATTATAAAAAAATTTAACTATTTTATAGATTCAAACCAAGAATTCTTCGAATTAAATTTTATAATTTAACCACTGTACCATAATTTATATATAATTTATTTTTATTTTTATTTTATTTTGAACCCGAAACCACCTGTTTAAATCCAAAACTATCAAATTTTCAAAATGAAGTACTAGAATCGAATCAGGTTTCAATTTGGAACCAGCAAACCATCCAATCGATTCGATTCGGTTCGGGTTTAAATCAAACCGCAGTCAAGACTAATCTCAAAAGTTTCTAAAACATTTATATTTGTTTTAATAAGTTGTCGACCTAATTATACTATTTTCAATAGGCCCAAAAATAGTGTACATGTGTCTAAATTTTATTATTTTTTAATCAAACTTCCATAATTACTTTCAAACTAGTTAGAAAGTGTAAATGTTAAAAAGTATAATTGATTCCAAACTCATTAACAAGTATAAACGTTAGGAATTGATTCATGAAAGGATCAAAATTTATGAAATTTAGTTGAAATTAAAAATTTTGAGTAGTTCACATACTGAATATACCATAAAAGGCTCATTAAAAATGGTAAAAGTAGAAAATCATATCATTTTCTGTACATGGGACCTTTCAAAGGTTTTTATAAAGATTATATTTGTTTTGACAAGTTTTGAACCTCGTTACTATTTTTCAATAGGGATCCAAAAGTAGTAAAATTATATCCAAATCATATTATTTTGGAACCAAACATTTACAATTGCTTCCAGACTAAATAAAAAAGTGTAAATGTTATAAATTGGTTCCTGGGAGCATCAAAATTTATGAAATTTAGCTAAATTAAAAGAATTCAACCCATTCACATGGTGAATTAACCACACAATGCTCATTTAAAATCCAAGAAATGAAAAATCATGTCATCTTGTTGTGTATTTGGGACCATGTTAAAGGTTTTTATATATCTAGGTAAAAATAGAATATACACTCGTTAGAAATGGTAAAAATAGAATATCATGTCATTTTATATATCTAGGACCGTTTCAGAGTTTCCAAAAAGTTTGGGTTTGCTTGGATAAATATTAGACTCAGCTATACTCTTTTTCAATAGAACCCAAAAATAATATAATTATTGTTGAATCTCGGATTTTAATGATAAAACTAATTGATAGTGTTTATAATTTGATCTGCGTTTTGAGTAACGTAGGAAGCTTCGATCAGAGAGAGACAATTAAAGTAGGAAGAATCATGTTGGATAGGAGAAAAACATGTCAGAATATTTGACGTCGAGCCGAAAGATCGGTAGACGTATCGGAAGAAGATTTCGGGCCATGAGTTTAGGCATTGGGCCAAGAAGAGTGGAAATTATACTAAGAAAATCGGAGTTGCGGAGGTAAACCGGTCGATTTGGCAATAGACCATAAGAGAGGATGATACACCGAAGAATTGGAAGAAGCGTCGATGAACCAATGACATGTCGAACAACATTTGATTCAAGCTTTGTAATAATTGTCTAAGATCGAAATAGGTTTTAAATATGCAAGATTTACTACGATAGCGATCAAGGCATAAAGCAAAATGAAGTCTTGGAGTCTAGAACGAGATTTTGATGGGAGTTCAAGAGTTCGTTGAAAGTCCGAACGTTCATCGGAAGTTCTGCCAGAATTGACCAAGAAGTCCAGGAGCTTGCCAAAGAAGCTCGTCGGAACTCACCAAGAAGATCGTCGTGAAGTCTAGGAGCTTGCTGGGAGTCCGTTTGAACATTGTCGAGAGATCGTCGGAAGTTCGTCGGAAGGTCGCCGGAAGAAACCTAGATATCGTCAAACTTATTTAGCTTAGTGTATGCCTTAAAAATCGTAATTAGCACATAATTGGGTTGGAATTAGGCCAACTCATTTAGAGGCCAATTGGGCCGAAATTGGGAGTGATTTGGGCTCATTAGGAGGCCTAAATTGGGAGTGTTAGTCGCTTGCTAAGCTTTGTAGCTCACTCCGTTGCAATATAAATTTTTTAGATTAGCTTATCACTCACTAAAATGTTAGAATTAGGCTGAGGCAGTGGAAAGCTATTCAGATTTTAGGCAAGTCTTGTTGGTTGATATGTTATTGTTATATAAGTGCATTTGTATCTAATGAAATGTTGTCAATGAATAATTGTTGTATAATGTAAAAGTAAAGCTTTAAAAGACCTCTCACTTTGAAATTTTGGGATGTTACATTTAGTTTATGATGATATGAACTTGTGGTAAATGATTAGTTTTACAGTTGTATAGATTCTCACATTGGTATATTTATAAGTGTGGTTAATGCTTTATTAAGTTCCTAAATTATGAGTGATGTAGTGTATGATTATAAACTGCACAGGTTTTATATATATGAATAATGTTTAAATATTTTTTAGTGTCCTCAAATATTAGGTTGGATCATGGATTGTCGATTATGGATGAAATATAATATTCTTGATTTAAGATTGGTTCACGCCTCTTAAATATGATAATTTGGGTAGTGTGATAAAGGTGGTATCAAAGCCAGGCTTCGATCCCGGGACACTTATGGGTTATAGGCCCACCACGCTTCTATTGCGCGGTAGTAAATTATATAGTAATCAATGAAAATTTTCTTTCATGTCTTTTAAGAATCTAAGATGATGAGGACATCTGGTCCTCCTGCTTCATCTTTTTCTAAGTAATTGAGTATGATGATTTAAAGATTAATCCTCAAATCAGAATGGACTAGGAATGGAATAATTTAAGAAGCTTAATCCTTCCTATTTCAGTAGTGAACCTAATCTATTAGTGGTAGAATAATAGATGATACAAATTAAGAAAATATTAGATGTATTAAATTGCCCAGATGATTAGAAGATTTCTTTTGCCACCTTTATATTGGAAGGATAGACTGAGAACTGGTGGGGAATAATAAAAAAAATAGAAATCAAGGGTGGGAATAGTAAGAACAAGTTTATCAACAAAAGTAAGAGAGGAAATGAATTAGAAAATGGTAACAATAGGGTCAGGACATCTAAATTTGGAAAGGGAAGTCACTACAAAAGACTCAATCATGAGCAAAATGTAAATTAAATCATGAAATAAGTTAGTATTTTCGGATGATTGGAGTCTGTTTTGTTTGTGAAAAGTTGGATCATAAAGTAAAAGATTACCCTCTAAACAAGAAGAAAAAGTCATTTCCTCCTATATCATTAGCCCATGCCAAAGTATAAGCTATCACTGAACTTATTCCAGAGCTTCTAAGTTAATAGTCGAAGGTATTATTCACGTTTCTAATAGAAATATAAAAGTTTTATTTGACCTTGGTTCTAATCTATATTTTGTTTTGCAATAATTTGCTTTTCACTTGGGCATTCAACCTAGACCACTGGATCATATGTTCTATGCAACTACTAGCTATTAGGGATTCTTTGACAACAAACTTAATCTATCTATCTTGTTTGATTTCTATTGGAGAATACAAACTTTTTGTTGATTTGATTTTCCTAGAGATATGAGGTTTTGATATTATACTTAGCATGGATTGACTATCTTTCTATCATACCAGTATAAATTATTATATAAAGATGATCACTTTTTGTATGCTAGATCAACCCATCTTTTATTCTGAGAGTATAAGGCATGATTTACCTCCTTGTCTGATATCGACACTTCAAACTCATCGTCTTATGTAGAAGGGTCGTTTTTACTATCTTGTGTATGCAAATGAGCAATCAGATCAAGAAACTAATCTAAATAAAATTCTGATAGTCAAAGAGTTCTCTGATGTATTTTCGGATGACTTGCTTGGATTACCTCCAAATAGAGAGGGTGAATTTGCTATTTATTTAGTCCCTGGGACAACCCCAATATCTAAGCCTCCCTATAGAATAGCACTACTCGAACTAGTGGAATTGAAGTAGCAATTACAAGAATTGTTAGATAAGGGTTTCATTCGACCTAACATCTCACCATGGGATGCTATGGTGTTGTTAGTTAAGAAAAATGATGGAACATAGAGGCTTTGTATTGATTATAAACAATTGAATTAGGTGACTATCAAAAATAAGTATCCTTTACCCAGAATTGATAATTTGTTTGATCAATTATAAGTTGCACAAGTATTTTCCAAAATTGATATGAGATCGAGTTACTATCAGTTGAAGATCAAGGAGGATATAAAAAAAAAAATAGCTTTTAGAACTCGATATGGTCATTATAAATTCTTGGTAATATCTTTTGGCTTGATTGATGCCTCTATAGGTTTTATTAATCTAATAAATAAGATATTTCATCTACTCTTGGATGATTATGTAATTATATTCATTAATGATATATTAGTGTATTCGAGTAACTACGACTATAAAGAGCATTTGAGAAACATATTATCAATATTAAGATAAAAGAAGTTGCATGCAAAGTTCAACAAATGTAAGTTTTGGTTGAATGAAATTACCTTCTTAGGCCATGTGATTTCATGGAAAGGCATATTTGTTGATCCAAAGAAAGTGGAAGCGATAGTTAAATGAGAAGCACCATGAATGTGATAGAAGTTCGAAGATTTTTTGGGCTTAGCAAGTTACTACAAGATATTTATGAAGGGATTCTCTCGAATTGCAAGTCCTCTCACCAAACTAACAAAAAAGAATGTGAAATTTGAATGAAGTGATAATTATGAGTGAAGTTTTTAAGAGTTAAAAAAAGATTGACTAGTGCCCCTATTCTAAATGATAACAAGAGATTTATAGTTTATAAAGATGTTTAAAGAAAAGACCTTGATAGTGTTTTGATGCAAGATGAGAAAGTGATTACTTATGCTTCTAGATAATTAAAAAGTTCTGAACAAAATTATCTAACTCATGATTTGGAATTAGCAATAATTATTTTTACTCTAAAGATTTTGAGACATTACCTATATGGGCGGACATTTAAAATATTTACTGATCATAAGAGTTTAAAATATATTTTTACCCAGAAATAGTTAACTAAGAGAAAGAGGAGATGGATAGGAATTTTAAAAGATTATGAGTGCAACATTTGTTACCATGCAAGTAAAGCCAATGTTGTAGCTAATGCACTTAGTAGAAAATCTATACGTTTTATATCTAGTCTGGTTGTGAAGCAATGAAAGTTATTGGAAAAAAAAATTATGATTTGAATGTTAAGAAGAAAGTGTAAGACTCAATGATATTGATGACCTCTGTTCATGTAATCATATCTCATTCTGATATCCACATTTAGTTTACTTAAAAAATGAAGTAAAAAGAGATTAAAATCGAATTTCGAGCTTCAAATTAAGACCTATTGAGATTTGAGGATAGAGTATGGAGTCTAATGATCCAAATAATCAAGAAACAAATCTTTGAGGAAGGTCATAATTTCAATGCATCTTAGTAGCATTAAGATGTATAGAGATCTCAAAAGTCATTATTGGTGGGAAGGCAGGAAGAAGGAAATTACAATATATGTTTTAAAGTATTTGACTTATCAGCTAAATAAAGTAGATTATTAACACTGCTTATCACCCTCAAATCGATAATCAATAAGAAAGTATTTATTAGATCCCTCTCATATCATTAAACATGAGACAATAGTATTGATAAAGATTTATCTTATATGGAAGAGTTCACTAAGATAATTGATAAGAAAGAAAAGACCTAAAAAAATAAGATCACTCCTCTAGTAAAAATGATTTGAAAGCACCAGCTTATTGATGAAACTACCTAAGAGTTATAGGAGGAAATGAAGAAAGCTTATCCTTATCTTTTTGAAAATATGATAAATTTAAAAGACTAAAATTTTCTTTTAAAGGAACGAGAATATAACATAAAGATCTATTTTTAATTATTTACAAGGACTTAATTATAATCTGATAATCTATTTATAAATCTGAGGATCTATTTGTAAAATATTAAAATCTATTTGTGAATATACATAATATAAAGATTGAATTGTAAAAAACACAAAAAAACAAAGCTTTGAATTTTGATTTAGCCAAAAACTTACTTTATTGGACTACCCAAACTTCTATTTTAATTAACCCTATAAAATCTACAAAATAAAAATAATAATTATTAACCTTTTGATACTAAATTACTTATAACTGAAATACCCACCTAAACTTCTATTTGAATCTAAATTCTGATATTATTCTCTGACTTTTATTTACTATATTGCTTGTAATACTCTATATAAAATTTTAATTTGTATGAAACATAATTTTTTTAAAACTAAACTATTTTTAAAAAAGACAAAAGAGTGATCAATTATATATGTTATTATCTATGATCCTCCGTTGATGTGAGACAAGGTTTAAAAACCCCCTCAAATGTCCTAAAAAACCTCATGATCACATTTTAACATATCTATCACATGGGCAAAAATTGATGATAGGTACAACAGCTGCAATTTGGTCAGTCATGAATGCGCGCATAGTTAACTGGATGCCTCACCAACTATTAAACAGCATCACCTCTTCTTACCACCTTTTCTTTGTTTCTTGAAAGCCAGTCCCTTCAAAGAGAGTGCACTAGATGCACTGTGTCCTTCCAGCTTCTTTGTAAGCTTCATGACGCTTGCCATTCCCTTCCGTGCAACAACCCTGCTTTCCACCCTACGATTGAGCAGCTTTCGGTCAAGAGGCCAATATGCATACGGCTCCAGCTTGTCCTTCCTCTTCACATCACCACCTGCCTTTTTGTTGGTATACTCACTACCCGGGTGAGCCCAACCAGAATCTGAAGTCTTCTGTCGCTTCTTCTGAGTTTTTATCGAAGAACTTGGAAGGGAACGGCTGTCTATGTGCCTCCTTGCATCTGAGTCTTTATCTGGGAAGATGTTCTCCTTTCTAGGTTTACAACCATCCTCACGAACAATAAGACGGCCATCAGCATCGATTTCTGGCTCATCCGAGAAGGTTTTCCTTCTTTTGAGGTGAGCTGAGGATCGTAGGGCTAATCTTGTCTTTTGCCGGTCTAGCAGGTCAAGTGGATCACCTTCGGATTGGTCAAACAAATCTTCTGGCAAACTCTTAGCTGCTTTACGTTTTCGGATTGACCTACAATCAGAATTTTCACTATAAGAGCATTCCAATGTAGTGAACAAATAGTAAGATCATTTCTTCCAAAACCTTATTTTAGAAACAAGTCCAGCTATAGAGAAAGCACAAGCACAATAACATGTTTGCTTTATAGAACAATAGAAAAGACAACAAATGGCTCCATATAATAGCAAAGAAATTTTATCATGCAGGCAATAACACCCTGTTTTCTCACATATTTTATTACTGACAATGATATCAAACAATAAAATTAAGAATCATCCATACCCTATAGATGAAGACCCAGAAGCAGGACCAGTGAAAGCTCTTCTGTGTTGACCAGAAAATGTTTTAGCCACAGCTAATTCTGCATCACTATCGTCACCTGTGTCTTCATCTCCAAAATCGGAAAATAGACGACTGTGATTCCATTTCCTGTGGCTGAAAATTTAGTAAAATAGGAAACATCAGAATACTTAGAAAGGCTAACAGAAGAGGATAGTTTTAAGCACCCAAAGAAACAAGAAATGCAGTTTTTGCTATAGTACAGTTGTCCACAAGTATCAGATTTGTTTCCTCAATGAATGTAACTATAAACCTCTTACAAGACATGAAAAAGAAAATACAATGGAACTTAATAACTAGAGCATCACACCATCTAGTCATGAAAAACATGTCATCAAATCTTAATTACAAAGATGACAATGACAGAAACTTGGTTTAAGGACATTCAACACAATATCAGCTAACATTCTACCCATTCTCAATGTCACATAAAGCATCAGAAAATCGCAGCGAGCAATTGTATATCAAAACATGACGCTTGAATTATTCATGAAACCAACTATAGAAATATACTGACCAAGCTTGTCACCTGGTCACAGAACTCCGAGGTATGCTTCTTGTAAACAAATTAGTTGATATGACATGCCAATATGTACATCTACCAGATGAAGATATTATTCATAGAATAAAAACATAATGGTAAAAATATCGAGGAAGCATGAACAACAAGATATTGTTTCGATGAAAGATAAGATGAAAGAAAATCGTTAAAGATAGTATAAGAATGTGCTAAAGAGACCTCCGGATGTAGTAAGTGGAAGAGGTAAGATAATTAATGTTAGTGGTACGAAGAGAGACAGATAAAGACCTAAAAAAATTTTAATAGAAACTATAAATAAAGATCTAAGTACTCTGAACTTAACTAAGCATATAGCTTTTTACAAATCTCAATGACGACAAAAGATCCATGTAGCCGACCCCAAATAATTTGGACTTATGGCTTTATTGTTATTGTTGTCGTGGTAGTATTTGTGCTTGTCCATGCTCTGGTCTGATCATTTAATCATTTAACTGGAGTTCTGAATAAAATTTAATTGAGTAAATTCTCACAAAATATCAGAGAAAGTATATCCACTTCAAAATTCCTTGGGAATAACCTCATAAATATTTAGTATCCATGTTGATGTCTTTGGGGATGATAATTATTCAAAAAAGAATGGTATACCTTTAACTACAAGAAACTTGGAACAAATCAATGGGTTTAATAAAGAACAAACATGCAGAACAAAAAGGTATGAATTCACAAGTTACAATTACCACAAAAAATAATTTTTAGCATTATATTACCTAGAGATGGTTGTTCGGGAAGTGACAGATTCCCCATCCTCGGATTCCCCATCATCAGATTTGGCATTTCGCTCTTTTCTCTCCTTAATCTATCATGAATCCCAAGATCAAGATGAACACTTTGGAGTCTCAAAACAATAAGGAATATCATGATTTACCTTTCGAATGTTGGTCAATAGTTTCATGTGGCCTTCAGGCATAACTTCTTTCACAGCATCAAAACCACATTTTCGCACAAGCATTCCAAGCAGTAACTTAATCTGACAAGTGATAACATGAAAATGAGAACAGGATAGTTAAGCATCTTATATAAATTCAGTTTCCTTGGACTCAATTATATAGTATTGACAAAACGAGGCTAACGATATAGTGTCTCTATATCTTTATTCCTTGTACTCAACTATATAGTATTGACATAAGGAGGCTAAAGATATAATGCCTCTCTGATGTGCAAATACTGTGAACCAAGATATATCACTATCAATCAAAAAAGTTGCAATTGAGTAAATATCCATTTGTCAGAGTCCAACCTGATAGGCTTACTAGAATAATAACTAACAGGATGAACCTTAAAGCAAGTAACCCAAAATGCTTATGCCCAGGTCACTACTAGTTGATTACAACTCATCAAATCTTATATACCTACATCACCCAACACTGACAACTAGGGTATATCATGTGCAAGTAATGTGAGCAAGCCAACATACTACATCCATAACAAAATTGCAGTTGATTATATATGCATTTGTCACATTTTAACTGCGTAGGCCTACTAGAATAATATTTTTTGACAGAATAAACCTTAAACCAAGTAGGCCTGACACTTGCGCCCAGGTCACTAGAAGACGACTACCATTCACGGGATCCTATTTACCTATGTAGCCCACCAATAACAACTAATGTTGGTTAAGCATTAATTACAATCATAAAACGTATAGTTTAATAATTGTGCCAACCTTGTCAAGTAGATCATCACTGTATTTTTGATAAATGGCTCAGTCATGATGGGATGGTTCTAAATTTCTTCATGGTCACATAAATTACATGGAGAAAAATGAAGAAAATACCTTGGCCTTGAAATGATTCTTGGTATCATCTTGCCATCTCAGGAGTCCTTCAACCATCGTCTTCAAGTGCATCTGCAAGCAATCAGCTTTGGATTTTACCACCAATACCTTGATGAGACCTAAGTTGGCCTGCAGTATGTACAGAATGGAACTGAGTACCAGAACAGCCCAGTTTTAGTTCATATAAAAGTTGATGCAGGGTACAAGAGATACTTTGGCAATTTCCTGGTTCCTTCTTTGCAGGAGAAGAAATGCAGAGGGAAGCAAGTTGTAAGCTGCACCAATGAGATCCGAGAACTCAAATGCCAAACGAGCTAACCCTTTTACTGCAGCACTGATCATATGTGGTGTTTCACCAGCAAGACCGCCAGCTATCTGAATTGAAGATAAGGACAATTAAGTTACAAATAAAGCATAGAACCCCCTTGAGAATTTGAAAAAAGCTACAGTGTTTTACTATTATCTACATTGATGACTCAAGCATTTTTTTTACAAAAAATTAAGTAAATGCTTGAGGAGAAGAAAGGCTTTAATTACCAAGTTAAAAAGTTGTAGAAGGTTATCTTTTCCCCCTCCTTCCTCATCTTCATAAACATGACCAATTTTAACAAGCAAGTTATAAGCTCTGTTTCTTGTCTTTTTATTGGCCTGTAGGACAAAACCAATAAAATGTTGCAAAGTTTGTCCATTAGCTGAACAACTTTTCACAAATTAAAAAGGTATTTATTGTCAGAAAAAGTAAAAATCCCTTGAAATACAACCAGCCAGGAGCAATGAAAACAATAAAGTCAGAACCATGTACATAGATTTCTTGAATGTATATTTCATATAGTGAGATGAAGTAATAAAAATAACAAGTCAGACCAACAATACATACATAGCATTGTGCCTAGTAAATGACTGAAAGCTCTTAGCAATTACCAAATGTTCCTCAACAACATTTTTGCTCATATTCAATCCAAAGAACATGCTCATAAGTATTAACTAAAATGATCCATGGCCAAAAGATTTGGCTTCCATTTACACCAACTGCCAGATGGAAACACCTCAGTTGATTTTGGTGGTTCAAGTTCAGTATTGAACAGATCAAAAAGCAAACAATTAAAAATCAGGAAAACTAGGAAGAAAAGGAAAACAGGGGAAGAGAAGAATAAGGGTCAAGTTCTATGCATTAAAGAATGTGCATAACCTAGTAATATACATTAACAAACAATGATCAAACAAGAGTTAACAAGATCTCAGAATCATGAGGAACTACAAGGATCATTGACAGAAAGTAACCAAAACTCAGAACCAAGAGAAACTATGAGAAAAAATATCACAACTTAAGACCTCCTTGTCGCCATTGCCAAAAGGAAGTTAACAATACTCTCTTGGTATGCCAAAAATGAGGTACTTTGTTAGTCCAAAAATTAACTCCATCAACTCGAACAAATCATATCAATTTTCATCACCTTCATTGTACAACTCATAAATATTTTAAATGGCCCATGATAACCTCTAAGCTGTAGTAAATTAAATGTCAAAACAAACAGCTACAACCAATTAATGAACATTGGTAGCCCAAAAAATGATACTACATTGTCCAGTTTTCTTTACATCTAAATTAATTATCCCTATATATTTAAAAGTCACATCTCATGAACCTTCAATTACCAAGATAGACACCACTAAGGGGCTACTGCATGCTTATGACAAGAGCAGATTTTTTGCAAACTCATATTTGAATAACATAAATGTTGTATTAAATTATATGTTTAATTAAACAGTACACAGAAATGCTCATGCTCGTATATACCACTTTTAGCAAGCAAAACCACAAATTTACCTCTTTTAAAGCAAGTATTATTTCAGTGATAAAAGCGCTGATGATATCCCTCCTTTTATGATCAAACAAATCCTATAAAAAAATAAGACATCATTTTCAGTTCATATTCTGAAAAAAACCAGCTGACAACATCCAGAAGCATCAAACATATATTTCAAATCAGCAATTCTAGCTTGCAATAAAACCCATCACAGACCTTTGATATGTAGATAATCAATGTATACAAGCAATCAAGTCTATGACGTTTAGCTGCAAAGTGGCAAAAAGGTAGTGACGCAATCATCAACTCAAGTAGTTCCTCCAGATTATTTGAAAGGATGTGGCCACGTTCCTAAAAATGTAAGCAGGTTGATATCAGTAAGTAATATAACTGACTTCCCAAGTCCCAGAATTTTCTAATAAACCTGAAAAAATCAAGACATCATAATACCTTCAGTATAATCGAGAGGATTTTATATGCTTTCTTTTGTAAAATCCCTTCTTCATCCTACAATACATACGAACATATATAACACAAGTTTGAATAGGATTAATAACAAAAACAATTGGTACAACTATGATGCACCTGGAAAGCAGGCTTAATAGCGCTGAATAACAAATCAATCTCTTTATCACCTAGACCAGGCAGAAGTGAAACTGCCAAGTCCAATAGGAGGGCCCTGCAATCAGATGAAGTGTAAAACATCCGCTTATTGCACAAGCTGATCAAATCAATAGGAAAATTTTAAAGAGCTAAATACTTCATAAACAAAAATCCAAAAAGAACATGAATAATAAGAACATGAATACAATAAACACCTTTCATGTGAAAGTGATGCTTCGTTTGAGGAACTATCAGTTAGCATTGTACCAGAACAATTAAGCTGATTCATTTTAACTGCTTCCTTAGTGACCTTCAACAGTTTATGCATGGTAGCCATGAAGACCTTCTTCACTACCTTTTTGTCCGATATCAATGCAAAATCATGGATCATTGCCTTGAAAACAAAAGATAAGCCTGTTATTTCCTTTTCCAATGCAATCAAAGGACAAGCACAATATGATTCACCATTGATAACGATAACACAAATAGCAGCCAATAGAGCACTCTTTTCACTTCAAAATTTCAAAGCAAGGTTTAAGCTTCTTCGATGTAGGCAAACGAAAGTTTGTTCTTACGAATAATCAGGAGGGTCATCTGCTATTTAATAATCTTCTTACAACATCAAGTCACCATAACATTCAGCATCATTAGCATGTGCAGAAACATCCAAATAATAAAAAGAAGAAAAAAGAGATACGGAGAGAGATTGTATCATCATTCTTACTTTTAAGTATATATATATATATATATATATATATATATATCACAAGGATTATAAACAGAACTATGCAAAAAAACTTGCAGAAATTTTGGTTCAAAAACATGACATTTCAGAGTTGGCAGATTCAATTATTTCCTTGTTAAGGCAAAAATGTAAATTTTATGGACCTGAATCACATTAAACACTTCTTATAAAACAGATAAATACCTGCAGGCAACCACCACTGTCTTTCGAACACGTCAAGAATGTCTCTGATAAAACTGAGAAAAACTCAGGAGCAAAAGATTGTATTGCCTTCAGATTTTCCTCTGATTCACTTTTACTATAATGATCCTCTTCTGTCGCTGAAGGGCTTATTTTATCATCAGGTCCAGTGGACTTATTAGAAATTATGTCATTGTTTTGGCGAATCAAAGTCTACAAAAATAGACAACAATTGAAGTGAAGCAAGAAGGACGAAGTAGTATACTTCTGATTTAAGGAAAAAACAAAGGTGTACCTGTAAGCTGCAACATATTATCCCACGCAAGTCAGGTTCTTCACGGAGTGCATTGCATAACTCTTCCTGAATAACCTTAAAACCACTTGAAGTATCCACAGGATAATTGCAAAATGCAGGCAACAAGGACCATAAGGCATATACAAGACCTTTTGCACTCCTAGCTGAGAAAATCAATCCCTCCTTCTCAAGCTTTTTTCATTATAAAGTTATATTAACATATGTCAAAACTAATGCTAATAATAGAAAAAAAGACCATGATGGGGATTTATGTGAGAGGGGAAGACCTACCTTGTAGGACTTCTGCTTTATGTCTTTAGCCAGAACTAATATATGTTCAGCGAAAAAACTTAAACGAGCACCAGCCACATGTTGCTTTAATATTGGAAGTAGCCAAACATTAGCATCAGAGACATCTGCATCCAAGTTGAGTGGCAGGATGCTGAGAAAATTCTCAGGCCCCATTGTACTAACAGCTGACCCAACACATTCATGAAGCTGCAAGTTGACAAGGAATTGACTAAGAAAAAAACCAGACGAATCACCTTTATCGACTTAGGCCAGATACTTTACTACTAAAATCATGTAGAACAATCATTTCAAACATGAATTGCTGTAAAATATGAAATTAAGCACTGAACTGACAAGGAGGCAACTACTAGACTAAGCAGTTAACATTTAGCATAGACTGATTTTTAGCAAGGCTCTGAGATACTAAAAAATCAAATTACATAGATGAAATAATAAAGAAAATGAATACAATCCAAGAATTATATAACTAAAGCACTGATTAACATAAACAAATGGAAGCAAGAAGATTCAATATGTTATATCTAAAGCATACACAAAATAAAAGATCGCATAGATATTCAATGAGCAGAGTTGAGCTTCATAGACATCAATGAGTACAATGATAAGGCCATCATAATCAGTTAAAATAGTTACAATACTTAAAAATGAAAAGTGAAAAGATCCTCAAAAGTGGTTCAAGGTAATTGATAAAAACAATGTCTATAAACATTATGCAACCAAAGAAGCCTCTACAATTTTTGCTAGTTAATAAGATAGGCAGAAAAACATGAATGTTACTTAAGGATGGTCAATCAACAGGTCCTAGAGAGGATCCTGAGGTAACAAAGAGAAAAATCCCAGCAAACCAACTAGAGTAAACAATCAGACAATTGCACAATTTGGTGCCCACTCAGAGAACAAAGATACATGCCACCACAAGAATAAGTTCTGGAGTCATAAATGAATGAATGCATCTATCATGAAGGTCAAAAGTCAATCTTCACCACATCTCTATGTGATATTTACAACAAATTAAAGTGCTATGCAGATTAATCAAGTATAGAAGGTAATACAAAAGGCATTCTCAATGTGCAAAGGCTCCTGCCAATGCACATTTGAAGAAGGTCAATGCATGCAGCCTAACCTCAAAATATAGAAAGGTTGTTTCTGTGACTCGAATACCAACCTCACAAAAGAGCAGCTTTACAACAACTTATTGTTGTACAAAGGCCCGCCATGTTATAGGAGGTAATATACTCATAATAACTTTGACTGATACGATAATTTCACAAGGAAATCAAGAAAGAAAAATAATACAAATTGTGATGGTATTGTCGGTTTCACTAGGAAATCCCAATCTAAGGCTTACAAGGCTAGGATGCATGTAAATGTTTCAAGTACCTCAAATATCATATTTTGTTCACAAAATTTGGAACATTTTCCACCACAATGTCATAATCAACAAGCAAGAATAAAGTTAGAATTCACACCATCTTCTAAAGTACATCTTACTCTAACAATAATCATGTCAAGACTCCCAACTGCCAATAGATTTATTAAATTCAATATTCTAGTTCAACCCATATGCCCTTTATGCCAAACTCATCCTGAATCTATTGATTGTCCCTTCTTTTATTGTTCCTTTTATATTAAGCTTTGGGATTATTGGCAAGTGAATCTACAATTCTCCTTTGAATACAAATCCACATGGATATTAGTAGACTAGTTAAAAGAAGGTACAACTAGTTGAAAGAAGGTACTAACATGGGGAAGGGAAAAGTTCTGCAGATTGCCATAGCAAATCAACTCCGGTTCATTTGGAAAATGCATAATAATACTCTATTTATCCTCCTTAGCAAATCTTCCATTAAATGGGCATGCCTCAAACTATGGCTCATACTGGCTACTATGTCAGAACAACACTATCTGAAGGAGAAGTGTTGTGCAATACTCTGCTTAATTTGCAAAAACCATCTCTAGGATGGTATAAACTTAATATTGATGGATCCTTTATTTTGTAGGAAGGAGGTGCAGGATTCATCTTTTGTAATCATATTGAATACTGCTCTCTGCAGCAGATCTTCAATATCTAGGCAACAAATCCGCTTTACAATGCAAGGCTTTGGCTGTCAAGATGGGACTTCAATTTTGCAATTGCGAAAGGGTTCTATCAACTTCAAATTGAAACTAATTCAGTAACACTAAAGGAACTTCTAAGATGTATAAACATGCACCATGGTTAATCGACCAAGTACTTGTGGATACTAAGCATCTCCTTTTGCAAATCCCTTCATACTCTCTATTACATTGTTTAAGGGAATGTAATCAAGCAGCACACTGGACTGCTGTTAAAGCAAGGATTGATAGATGTAATGTTGTATGGGAGGCAGAATGCATTCCTCCTGAATTGTCTGTACTACTCCAAAATGAGTTACAAAAGTCATTTGGTAGAATTATGAAGTCTTGATAGATTTCTTTTTGGGGAAACATAATCATGTCAATCTGTGAACAAAATTAAGACTAATAACTCTGCTAATAAAAAAAAAATATTGCTTATGACTATATTGCAAATAAACAGAAGTGCACCTGCTTTCTGAAAGAGAAATCCTCATCTGATAAGTTCTGCATATCTGCAAGGCTTTTAACAGCTCCAGCCATTAGATAGTATGAAGATTTTCCTGAAAATTTCCCATCAGGACCATCAGATCACAAACAAGTGTATCAGTAAGAAGTAAGCTCCATCAAGAACAAGTTCAGTTCACAACACGAATTGTAACTGCTTGCACCATCAGAATATTATTATGCAGCTTCCATCTAACGTTAGCAAATGGTCCAATGAATGAAATTATTTTTAAGGACAATAATTTAGATTAACAACATCACACTGATGTCAAACTTAAGACATCTTCCTCCAGCTCATAGATAACAATCTATAGCATGCACTATGGATAAACTGTGATATCCTTACACAAGGGAAGTAATGAGCATTGTCATTTTGAACCTCAATGATAGTGATGGTGTCTAACAACAGCTAATGGATAAGAATTTTCCCATAGCTTAACTATATTTTGCAACCATTACTGAGTCATCACATGAACATTCTAATTGGTATTAGAGACCAGGAAGAAAACTATAAGTCTATCCACAACCAGGAGTTGCAATGAAATTCCCAGTCCAGCAGTTCTAATTATATGGGCAACAATAATTTATTATGTAATAAGTTTTAGTGCCATGTGCATATACCATACTAAAAATAAGAACCACAAAACATGAACAAATTAATTGGCTATGGTCTGTTAGAGACAGTTCATGTAAAGGCATGTGTGCACTCAACACATACCATAAGATGTGTCATAGGAAACATAGAGCATACGCTTGACCCATTCATCTGTCCACAATTGGGCATGGACTCAATGCAGCATCATGCCCAACACAACACTCCATCAGCATAACAAGGTCATGGTCAGCAATCCACTCCGTGTTTCATGAGCTCCATGGTTCATCACTCAATGAAGTGATAATCTTAAAGTTGATAAATGGCATGTTTATGTTTTACAGCATTCCTCAAAAATAAATGCAAAACAACCGCACAACATAAAATTGATCAACAAAATCAGTGTCAAGTTCTTTGCAAGCTAATACCTAGTTGAATGAATGTTGTTGAAAGAACCTGGAACGACATGTCCCAAACAGCATTGTAGCGATAACCAAGGAAGCCTTCAATGGTTGCGCATATTTTTTCAATGATAGTAGGTCCAGACTGCCTCAGCCCTCCATCTGCAGCTTTTATTTTAACAACACCTTGCTCAATAAGGGTTTCATCAATGCAAGTACATATTAAACCCTTTAAGGCCTCCATAGCAGCAACTATAGCTTCCTCATGCTCACTGGCTAAAATATCTGTTGCACAATAAAATAAAATAATATAAAGATTATATATGTCCATTGGAATACTTATTGCAAATTGACATTAAGAACTTGAAAACTACAAACCTCCAAGAGCATTAAATATGAGAGGAAGTTTCACAACACATATTTCCTTGTTTAGATGATAAACCTTTCTCGTACCCAAATGTAACAAGTGTGCTGTTGATGCCATCTGATCTGCTGACTTCTCCTTATCAGATACAGACAATGCTATAAAGGATAACAAATCTTCTAATAACTCAGGAGCAACATCTGCAGTTGAACTGCTGCAAAGAACATGCAGAACCTCCATTATACATCTTGTTACAATCGACTGCCGCAGCTCCAATAGGTTTTTTAAGTACTTCAGTATTGTATTTGTGTATTTCTTTGACATAAGGGGAAGACAACCCTTCATGGCATTTAAAATACATAAGACTTGCATAGCTCCTTTAGACCCCTCGGAAGAAGCTGATTCTGAAGAAGTTCCACCGGCAAGCAACAGAGACCTCTCAAAGATGGCTGTGATACTTTCACTTGCCGACAACAAAACTGTCTTATTTTGGAAACTTCTTAGCACATCACTCAAACATGAGTGACACTCCTTCCTTACCTGCAATACATCTAATTAACTAGTATCCATGTACATTTTGCATGTTTGATACAATATATTATCAATCCTTCTACAAATATTGACAGTCATTATGCACAATAAATTGATGATAGCTGAATCCAAATGAAGACCAATGCTCAGAAAAAATGCAAAAATTTGACTACAATAAGAGGAGAAGAATCGGAGCTCGCTGAGTTACCTTGAGCCGCTGAGCCGTGACAAAGCTTAAAAGAACCGCATAAAGAGGCGACAAAGCCGACCAGTTTGTTTTATCTCCTACTGCAAGCAAATAAGATGCGCACCTCAGCCCCGACTTCACACCACCGGGCGGCAGTGAATTGAATCCTAGGATTCGAACCAAGATCTCGGAGACCTCTGTCCACCTACTCAGGATGACGGGGCGGGAGACCCTGGGGAACGCAACGGCGAGGAAGGAGAGCAGTGAGGCAGCGGCGGGGTCGGAGCCGGAAGCGGGATCTCGTGAGAGACGGTCGAGAGAGGAAGCCGTAGCACCGAAGTAGGCAACGGGGGTCAGGGGGATTCCCTGGTCCTTGAGGGCCTGGGCTATGGTACCGACGGCGGCGCACAGATGCTGATGGTCCTCGCGTTCGGAGCTCTGGAAGCGAGCCAGGACGCCAGCTGCGATGTCATCTCCATCAATACCTCCACCGCCGGCCTCGTCGTCGACAGCGAAGAAGACGACGTCGGAATCCATTCGACGAGAAAAGAAACAAAGAAGCCCAACCTCTAGGGTTCCGAGGGAGCGAGACGTTCAACGCGCACATTTATAGATTAAAGATCGCTTCCGATCATGCTGTTCATCGAGTTCCATGCTTTATGATGCACGAATTATTTGATGAACGGTCTGGATGATTGTGAGCCCGGAATTCACAATTATGGACCACTTGATTTAATAATGTTTATAAAAGCGAAATAAAATATAAAGTATTTAATTATCCTAATAGGAAGAAAAATAGGAATATATTTATAATTTATACAATATTAAATTTTTTTTTTTTGACTAGTTTTGAATTTTTTAAAAAATATTATGATATAATTGATAAGGAAATATGACACATGCACGACCCAACAATACATATCCTTTTGACACACTTAGCATCCTCATTCATATTCATTAATTGTGACACATTAATCAAGAATTGTTAATGTCACCATGAGGCATCATGTTGTGCCCGGATCAATTGATGAACCCCTCATATTTCTAACATCATATTTATGATAGGCTCGGACGTCGGATCTAACGATCGAAATATGAAGTAACAATTATTGAATCAGCTTATTAAATTTTAAATTTTAATGAAGAAATTAATTTTGATGAATTTAAGAAACTATTGCTATGTCAAGATAAGTGATACAGACTAAGAAACATAAGCATTGAGTCAAAAAATCATGTCGAGCCAAATATCATACATCATATATCATATTGAATGATTGAACATAATATCCAAGATTTAGATAGTGTTAAAGAAAAATAAATTAACATATCAAAAATGAATAATGTGTTGAAAGATTTGTCAATATGCATAATTTTGAATGGCATTCCAAAAGAGCAATTTTTGTGTTTAAGTCTTCAAGTTAAATTGGGTCAAATTGAACTATCATTAAGGATGGAATAAACCTTACTAGTCATATAACTTATGACAGATATTGGGCTTGACATTGTCAAACTAGAGTCTTTACTATGCTAAATACATGGCTTAACGATCAATGGTATCACTTGATTCAATCGATAGCATCATCAATGCTTTGTCAATAATATTGATGGCAGTAACTGATTGTATTGCTTAGGATGATAATAATACCACCAGGGTCATGATTTTAGTTGTGTTAGAAGTTACAATGGTAATACCTCCAATACTATAAAATTACAACAATTTTACTGTTTTGACTCTTTTCGAGGTTTTTGGGCCTATAAATACCTTATTTAGATTTAACTAATGGAGTATTATTTTTTAAGTTTAAAAATTATTGTTAGTTTTGTTTGAGTTTGTTTCAGTTAAATTATAAAATTATAGAAGGTGAGAATATAAGTATAAAGTTTATCTTAACTCATAAAAGAATAATATTGTAAAAGAATAGTTAATCTTTACACATTATGATTTTTTATAGTACCGAGAAAACTGAACTACTATAATGTGTCTCTATTTCTAATTTATATTTCTCACTGACTTATAATTATTTAATATTATATCCAATACTTGCTTCCTTTTATTAAAATTTAAAAGTTGAGTAAATTTTCATAAACACTAATTCACCCTTAGAGGTCTTGTAGATTAAGGTTAGCTAGTAAAAATTTGACTTTCTACATCACTAGAATCCCTCTCGATTGACCCAAGGAAGGCTCAAAGACACCCTATGTAGTGTTTAAATCTCACACATATTAAATTACAACTAACATGTCAATTAAAGTATAAATTATATATATATATATATATATATATATATATATATATATATATATATATATATATATATATATATATAAAACCTTTTGATATGATTTGTGATGTTTATGTTTATGTTATAACTCACGTGCATAAGCATTAATGTTACAACTAATATGTATAAACATTAAGTTTATGCTTTAGTGCAATAAGCTAAAGTATGCTAGCTGGTTTAAATATGATGTTAAGTTATTATAATAAGTGTTAGAGCTTGTCCTAAAAAAATTATCAAAGAGTAATTTGACAATCCAATAAAGACAATAAAGTAAAAAAATAAAAGAGACAAGCCCAAACTATTTTAACTAAGTGTGGACTTAATAGAAATTAAACCCAAAGCAAACAAATAGATTTTTCTTGTGATACATTTGGCTTCAAAGCCCAGGCTCTTATTTATAGTTGCAATAGGAGATAACAAACTTGATTTTCCCGATGTGGGACTATGTGAGACTTGCTAAACTAATAAATCTCTACATTGGCATGTCCTCACATTGATAATTAACAAAACTTCCTCCACCTAAATCTCTACCTTGGCATGTCCTCACATTGATAATTAACAAAACTTCCTCCACCTTCTTCAAAGCCCCAACGGGCAATCACCAACAATGAACACCAACCAAGTCCAAGCACTGCTTAACTTGTAAACTAGAAGAGGCTTTGTAAGCATATCAGCTGGATTGTCCTTTGTATGAATTTTCTAAACAAGGACCTTTCCCTCAGTAGTGGTATCCCGAATAAAATGAAACTTCACATCGATGTATTTCATCCTCTCATGATACATCTGGTCTTTAGTCAAATGAATAGTACTTTGATTATCACAGTAAATTGTAGTAACACCTTGATGCGGACATAATTCGTCGAACAAACCTCTTAACTATAAAACTTCTTTGATCGCCTTTGTCACTACCATATATTCTGCCTCTATAGTAGATAAAGTCATGACAGGTTATAAGGAAGCTTTCTAACTAACTGCGCAACCGCCAACACAAAAACATAGCCTATCAAAGATCTTCGTTTATCAAGATCCACAACATAATCAGAGTCAACGAAACCAACCAAAGTGTCACGATTTTTCTCAAACTTCAAACAAGCATCTGAAGTCCCTTGCAAGTATCTGAGAATCCACTTCACAGCCTGCCAATGTGTTTTACCTGGGCGCGATATATATCTGCTAACCACATTGATTGCTTGTGAAATATATAGACGAGGACAAACCATTGCATACATAATACTGCCGATGGCATTGGAATATGAAACTTGTACCATACATTCTTCATCTTCAACTGACTGTGGTGACTGAGTAGCAAATAGCCGAAAATGGTTAGCAAGAGAAATACTCACTGGCTTAGTGTTTTTCATGTTAAACCTCTCTAAGACTTTCTCGAGGTAATTTTTCTGGGTCAGAAATAAATTTTCAACTCTTTGTTCTCTTTTGATCTCCATGCCAAGAATTTTCTTAGTTGCTCTCAAATCTTTCATTTCAAATTCACTACTCAGCTGCATTTTCAAAGTGTGAATTTTTGACAAATTCTTAGCTGCAATAAGCATGTCATCAATATAAAGCAACAAATACACAAAAGAGCCATCAATTAACTTCCGGAAATAGACACAGCTGTCATACATGCTCCTCATGTAACCATGACTCAACATAAAAGAATCAAACCTCTTATACCACTATCTTGGAGACTGCTTTAACTTATGCAAGAATTTCTTTAACAAGCAAATATGGTCTTCCTTACCGTCAACTTCAAATCCATGAAGTTACTATATATAAATCCGTTCTTCAAATTCACCATGTAAGAAAGCTGTCTTGACATCAAGTTGCTCCAATTCCAAATCATACATGGTAACTAAAACAAGCAAAACATGAATAGAGCTATATTTAACAATAAGTGAAAATACATCAATAAAATCAACATCATGTACCTGACTATAGCCCTTTGCAACCAATCATGCTTTGTACCTTGCATCTTCAACCCCTGGAATACCTTCCTTCCTTTTGAAGACCCATTTGCATCCAACAATTTTCTTACCCGAAGGCGGCTTCACAAGATCCCAAGTTCTATTCTGATGGAGAGATTCAATTTCTTTATTCATCGTAATCAACCACTTAGCGGAATTATCATAAGAAACTACATCTGAGTAGGTAGTAGGCTCACCAACTTTACTTGTTTCTTCTGCAATAGACAAAGCATATGCAACCAAATTTATATATCTTTGTGGTGGTCGAATATCTCTTCGTGGTCTATCATTGGCTATGGAATATTGCTCTTCCTCTGGATCATCTTCGTTAGTAGACTCGGGACCATCTACTGGCATTCTTTGAGTAGAAGAGTTCGATTGAAAAGAATCAGAACTACTAATCTCAAGCTCCACCTGCTTCTGCGCACTATCATTTGTACAACTAGTAGATTCCTCTTTGGAAGATAATATAGACAATTCATCAAAAGTAACATATCGACTGATTACAAATTTTGGGGATTTAGGATCAAAACATCATAATCTGTATCTTTTCACCCCAGAAACATACCCAAGGAAAATACACTTTTTAGCTTGAGGCTCTAATTTTCCTTCATTTACATGCATGTATGCTGGACACCTAAAAAATTTTAAATCAGAGTAATTAGCAGGAGTACCTGACCAAACTTCCTTCGGAGTTTGAAAATTAAGTGCTACAAAAGGAGTGTGGTTGACAACATAACAAGCCATATTAATCGCCTTGACCTAAAAATCCTTTTTTAACCCTGCATTTGATACCATATGCCTTTCTCTCTCCAATAGTGTTCTATTCATATGTTCAGCCATACCATTTTGCTGAGACATCATCCTAATAGTGTGATGCCGAATAATTCCTTCATTTTTGCAGAATTCATCAAAGTCACCTTTACAAAATTTCAAGCCATTATCTGTTCAAAGCCGCTTAATCTTTTTACCTGTTTGCTTCTCAATCAAAGCCTTCTATTATTTAAAGGTTAGAAAAATATCATTTTTATGCTTCAGAAAATAAACCCAAATTTTCTTGGAATAATCATCAATGAAAGTCAACATATACCTGGTACCACCCTTAGATTAAACACGAGCTAGACCCCAAAGGTCTGAATGAATATAATCAAGAGTAAATTTCATTTTGTGAACTGCCGGAGAATTGAAGCTGACTCTTTTTTGCTTTCCAAAAATATAGTATTCAAAGAAATCCAGTGGCCCAGTACTCTGTCTGCAAAGAAGACCCCTTTTGCTCAATATGCTCAAACCTTTTTCGCTCATATGCCATAATTTGGTGAT